ATCTCTTTAACAATATTTCTACCGAAGGTACCAGAAGACATCTTTTCAAGCCTTAAAATTATTATCAACAATTCAATCGTCTTAATTAAATTTTTCACTTGTCGTAAATTATATAAAATCGAAAAATCATTTTATTAAATTAATACGTGCTATTCAAATATTGAAAATTATTATATAGAAATCGAATTGATTAATTAAATTTAACAAGGATCACAAAATTAAATTTAACACATCACAGGAAAAGTCGAAAATTAATATAAAATATTTAAAAATCATTTTAGCAAATTAATACAAAATATTCAAGTGTTGAAAATTAATATATAAAATTCATGTTGATTAATTAATTTTAACAATGTTTATAGAAAAAGTGAAAGTTGAGAAAAAGCCATTAAACTAATGATAGTAATTTTAAGCAGAAAAGAAAAGTGTCTTTTGATACCTTCGGTAGGAATAGTGTTAATAATATACATATATTAGAGGATCTACTCAATGAGCGTTTTACTGTATTTATGTACGATGTATACAAATGACTCAAGGGATTTCGGATCGACTTCGTACGTAGATATAGAAAATATATAGGTTCAACTATCGCAACTAACTATCAATTACGCATGGAAAGCATTAGAGATAGAGAGACAGAACGTGTCACATTTTCTGTGTGCGTGCAAAGTCGGTTCGGCATCCTTTGAGTCACCTGTACACATGTCCAAAAAATCAGAGAGCTTACACTGGGCCAACATACTTCTGAATTTTCCAAACTGCTTTCTAGCAAAGTTGAATTAGAAAAGATTTTTAACAGTGCTCCATCCAAATTCACGATTTATTGAATCGATTCGAGAAGAAATTGTAAGGCATGAGACTGGAAAAGATTCCTGATAGAATTTCATCCAGATTTATGATTGTGCGGATTGAATTGCTGGATCGATTGGAAGAAATTGTCAGGCATAAATTGGACGAAGAGTCGGGCGAGAATTCCACGTTTCGGATTTGATCCCAAGTGGACGGAGAGAGGGACGAGTGCACGTGCACCTGCACGTGCAACAGATTCCACCGGGTACACCTTTCTTTTTATTCACGATCGAGATATATCTCGTTCTCCGACTAACGGGATCTGGGGCCATCCTTCCCAACTCGTTTCACACTCTAATTTCGTCTGTTCCAATTTTCGTGAAACGGAGACAAAAGTACGTCGAAATGTAACAATCGAACGCACATTACTACAGACAGTACTTGCACTGCATGCGCAGAATGAGAAATAATAGTATTTTTGATTGAATCAGATTGTAACAGTATATCTCTGAATTCTTGACATGTTAGAATCGAATGTCATATTTCAAATTTGGCGACTTTTCAAAATTTTCATTATTTTAAGAGTTTTTCTTTTATTATAAATAAATTTCGAAATATTTTTACTTATAATACGAGTATAGTAGTATATCCCTGAGTTTCTTCATTTAATTCCTTCCGCAAGACACAGAGAAAAGAAGTCTTGAACTTAATAATATTTTGGCAGTCGTACGTCATTTGGATCTGCCAAGACCTAGGATTTCCGATTTTTATTAGGTCTGCGAAGAAGGGACGAAAGCGACCTTCTTATGGTAGAGGTAGTGTAACCGTTTTCAGTTTCGGACTCGTTTATGGTCACCCGTAGCATCAGTAAGGTCCAAGGCATCTTATCTTCTATCGAACATAATTATTACTGTTTACACTTGCTTGTCAGAAAACGTTAATCTGGGTTGGAAATTTCCCATCTCTCGTCTCTTTATGCAGTCCAAGGCCCTGCTTGGGTTTATTACGGCTACGGACAGTTTATTTGAGAATTTCCGGACCTTCGTCGTATGCGACTTGAAGATGTCCTTATATTTGCCGCCGGCCCTATAATTTTAGGCGGTTAAGAATAAGCAGCGAGCGCCGGCAGGCCATTCTGCTTAGAATATTTAGTTTAATGTTTTTTCTTATTGTTTATCTCTCCATCTATGTATAAATTGTATTGTACTTTAAATAAACAATTTAAAAAAAAGAACAATTTTAGGCGGTAACTACTACCCCTACAATTTGTTGGTAAACCAATAGCAACTAAAGATGTACTTTCGCACCCCATTTTTACAAATTGTACGCCAACACCGAGCTCTTTGTCGAACGAAACAAGAGGCGAATACTCACTTGGTTTTTAGCCTTCGAACAGCTTAGAGATAGTCACAGTTCACAGTTAGTCTTACTTGTACACAACTTTGTTCATTTGGAATAAATTAAGATACAACTGCAAACACACACTGGTGTTATAATTGATACATATCGATATGCAGTCCACTTCTAACGTCAGAACTTGTGACGACTGAAGTCCCACGCGTTGTTTAATCGTTGCTAAAGTTGACGACGCTGCGACGCACAGTGCGGACAAAATGCAAAATTTTGAACGAAAATCAAGATTTTATTATCAATGTATATAATTCACTATTTATTAACAGAAAATCAAGATAAAAAAATTAATAATTTTAAATAACAAATGTTTAAAAAAAATGAATAAATTTGTTCTAGAAAACAAATTTGTTTCACATACTTTTGCAAATTGAATAACAATTTAACATAAATCAATTTAGAACATAACTTAACGTTAACAAACTTATAAAAACATAAGTGTAGACAATTTTCTTCGCTTTCTATTTCGGAACTAATTTGTGACGAAACGCTGGGGTATCGTGATGTTTCTGCAATATCTTTTAGTATATACTTTTCAATTTCTCCAAAATCACGATTTCGTTTTTTCATAAAAGTTTTTTGATGTGATGAGATGAGTGAGTCGAAGCGTATCAAGTAAATCATCATTCGTGTTCTATTTATAAATCAGATCAATAACTTGAAATTGATGCAAATAAACTTGATTTATC